AAAGCTCGTAGAACAACATAAAGCACCTTTCCCAATCAATCCACCATGATAGATCATTACAAGATCAGGGGTGATACATTGTGGAATCACAAACGCATGATTTTACCTGAGCGGCAAATAATTTTCATGCAAATTCACAAAGGCAAATCAAGCAGAAATACACGTCAAGAATATAAATTACCAGAAAGATGACACACAGAGTACCAATAAAGCCCTAAACGTCTACATCAATCTTACATTCCAGGGTTTTCACAAAGGTAAGCAACGAAAAGTAAAAATTAAAAATTAAAAATTTAATAAAAAAAAAGGGCCATTAAGAGGAACTAACATAGCTAGCAAGAAGCACATAAAGATGAGCTAAGGGCTCCATTCAAGCTCGCATTTCCAAAGCTTGGTTTGGGCTCATTTCACGACCATGCACTCTCAGTCGGTAAATGCATGTATGAGAAGCACTCCCGTGATTAGATGTAACATCAAGCCTGATAGTGTCGACAAGATTGGAGTCTGCTATCTTCACTTTAAAAGTCTGGATGTTGCTCTTCTCGAGATCATAGGTGAATTCGGCCAAAGGAAACATCTTTGCACTTTGAACTTCCAAATCAGACAACTCTTGCCCTTGCATCCATCCAGATACTCTGCAGAGCTTGGGAGCACTGGATCTATCATAGGCCACACTCTGTTCATAGTACAACAGAAAGTGATCAGTGGTGGATTAGCTTTTGCAGTACCTAAAAAAAAAAAAAAAAAAAACTCTTCATAATGATAGAGCAGAAAGGAGAAGACAACATTTGGGAGGGGTATTCTAGAAAAATAATTCTTCAAAGTTTGAACACAGCCAACTTAGCAACCGAAGCAACAACTGTGCATCTATTCTATAACCTTGAAACATCTCAAAGAACTACTAAATGCTTCAGATAATCCCCAAAAGAATCGGATTGGCAAAGTCTTTCATACACTTCATAAAAATACTTCCGATATTGCACAATAGATAACTTGTCATGCTAACTAGAAAAATTACAAGTAGGCTCCAGTCCACCATTGGATCTATCTAAGAAATCATTGCTGCTATAATTGAAATTATCTAAAATTCAATGAGAAATCTGCAAGGATAATCCAGAAATTTACTAGGAATACCGTAAGTGTGTAACGTAAAGAGAGAATGTCTCACTGTGATCAGGAACAGGTCAAATTATGTGTTACAAAATTTAATATTCATCCACTGATATTTCTAACTATTATTTATTATTCTTTTATTTTTACATCACATCAACTCCGATCCATTGTACATCCAATTACCCTTACAAATACTCTTCTTCTCCCTAATTTATATTTTTCCAAAAGCTTTTTCTCTAGTGAAAAGATTTTCAAACGAAAGCATATCCAGTCGCACCTAATACTTTTTTTCTAAATCAAAATATAAAGTTCCTATCTGTATACAGCAAACAGGATTTTCAGTAATCCAGTTAATTATAACTATAACAGTAAATATGACAAGACTTTGCAAGCACTATACTGCACGCCTTTTGTATTTCACCATTCAAATCCCTATAGTAGGCATGCACATACTTTTCAAGATATTGCTACTGCAGTGTGCAATAGTTTTAAATGGCAAGGCAAGGTGATTCGCAAAGAACCTCATATATTATAGGAAAAACAACAATACAACATTAGAAAAAGAAACGTTGAATAAAATTAAAACATAATGCATAAGATTAGGAAATATAAGATAAAATAAACTAAAATAAAAGTCAAAAGATTGAAGACCCACATAGAAAATTAAAATTAAATAAAAGAATAATAAAACCAGATGAAATAGAAAAAGAAACTAAAAATGAAATTGAGAAATAGAAAAAGAAAATAAAAACTTAAACTAAAATTGAAAAAGAAAATGAAAAGAAGAGATGAAAAACTGCCTAGCCAAACAAACAACAAAGAGAAAAAGGCAGAAAATGGGAAGAAAAAAAGGAAAAAGAAAAAGTACAATGCAGCAATCAAAGAAACGACGGAGAAAAAAAAACATAAAAGGCCAAATAAATGAAACAGAAAAAAAGACCTAAAATAAAAGAAAAGAAACAGATAAGGAACAAAAAAACCTAAGTAGGGTGACGCCTGCCTCGGCAACGGTGACGCCTCAGGCAGCGGCGAGTCGACTTTACACCCGCCATGGCGTTGCCATTTAAAACTACGCCGGGTTCCAAAATCCACAAGTCTGCTTGTAATTTAGCATTGTTCTGGTTAGTATAAAACATTGGCTGGTTAAAGTTTTGTTGCATGCCATATGTAAAATATAAAATGAAAAACTTGCAAATTTGCACCAGAGTACATGTTATTCTGCTCGACAAACACAAGTATTCAAATAGTAGTACCGTCACATACATGCCGAACCAGGGTCATTTTGTTAAAAACTGATTTAACCACTGTATAAACTTATAACTTATGCAGAAGGTTATGTTGAGCCCTTAAACTTATAACTTTGATAGGTTCTTTGACAAATTTAACCCTTAAACTTCCCAATAATAGTGAACTTTTCATATCGCAATGGTGAATATCTGCTGGCATTGACCAGCAAAAGGTTGCAGACATTTAAAAAGGTAAAAGATGCAACAACCATACTCATTCCAATAAGAATCATAAGCAATCTTCTTATCAATTCCACATACATTTATTGTTAGTACTCAAAGTAAATGGCAGAGGTGTACAAAGGAAGTACATAACAAGACAAAAAAAAAATCATCACCGAAAGGAGAAGGTGATGCACATAAACATTAAACGGTTCATGCACCAATCAAGTAACCACAACTAGCTGACCATAACCAAAAGTATGAATGTCCAGAGAACAAATAAGAAAATAACCAGAGGCAAAATGATTACCATTGCCACACTATTCCTCACAGAATCAAGCAGGATAACTGATAGAACATATAAAATAAAAAATGAATCCAATGGTTACCTTAGCAACATGTTCAAGTGTCACTGCTTCAGGTACAATGGCGGTCCTGAGTCTTATACTGACAAATCCATTCTGCCCTTTAAGAGGAAAACACTGCCCAGGCTCTCCAAAGCTTGGCCGAATCATCTTCTCAGCTTCTGCACTCACCCTATTACGATTCATTAACCAACTTGCAGTTGCACTTAGTCTCAAACCACCATATGGCTCAGAGTGCCTCACCACCCTTCCTCCTGCAGATGCCAATGCATAATCCACCATTCCCAACCCATCAGCTGCATGCCTTCCAATTTCCTTTGCCACAATCTCCTGTGCATAATTCTTTAGCTCATCCAAACTAACCTTACCAAGACCACCAGCGCCGCCAATTTTTCGGGCTTTTAGGAATTCCTCATAAAATTCACCAATTTCTTCCTTCAATAGCAAATTTTTGTTTCGAAAACCATCCATAAACTTCTCAAAAACATCATTCCGTGCACCAAGAGCATTTAATTTTATGTCAAGCTCATTCCTGTTCTTCTCGATTTTCTCATCAAACTCCTTCCTAACCGATCCGAGCCCATCCTCAAACTTCTGATCATACACGTTCAACTGAACCTGCATCCCCTTCACTGTCGTCCTAACAAACTTCTCCATCTCCGACAACTTCCCCTCGAAATCCCCAGAAATTGCCAATATATCCTGAGCATCAGGACCGGAATTCAAGACCACCCACCTAGTCATCTGAACAAAACCCAGTATAACTACTAGCAAAGCCAGATTCTTTGTGAGAATGCTGATCACTGTGAGCCATCGCGGCTTTGCAGGCTTCCTGGATGGTGCGGACTTTCTCGTCGGGATATGGGTCTGGACTTTCCTTGCATCCCTGAGAATCGCGACAGCAGTGTCACCAGCAGTGGGTCGAGCGTCTCTATTCTCAGACTCAGTGACGATGGTGGCCGCCGCGAGACCTGAATCGGCGGCCGAAATATTCTTCTCGGCTGCTCGGCGGCGAGTTGTGGGCCCTTGATTCGCGGTGATGGAAACGGTAGATGCGGACATTTTAAGGGTTTTAAACGGTTAAAGACTGAACCTGACTTCTGGAGTGGATCTCCTTGATTATATTGAGAATTAGAACGATCGAAACGAACCCTAGACGAAGAAAGAACTAAACTGAAAATTTATTAGAGCTGAGATCAAAAGGAAAAGGTGTCTATTCTGGTTAATTCATAGATTTCTTAAAGCTGCTCGTCATGGAGCGGTTCCAAATATGAAACGTTCTAAGACTTTCTTGCACTCGTGAAATCCGTTTTGCATCTTGTAAAAATCGACATTTCGTTTTTGGCAACATACTGTTTCGAAAAACATAAATTTAACCAACCTAAATCTCTTACTATAATATAATAGCAATGAGGAAAAATATAAAAATAGCATCACAATTCACGCTCAAATTTTCAGATTTTACTACTAATTGAAATGTTTTTTAAAATTTTTTTGTTTCTCCCGCCCATTATTTTTTTTAAAATATTTTGAATTTTTGAAAGTAACATAAATTATCTTTTTTAATAGATATTGATATGGGATACTATATGCCTAAAGAAGAGATTGGTTTACCACATCAATCGGGCGAGCTTGATGTCGGAAAAATTGTATTGGTCGAGCAATAATCGACCAAAAGAGAAGTGGTCGAGCAGAATAGCAGAACTGGTCGATGATCGACCTAGCGAAAGAAGACTCGGTCGGATCGAGCACTTGACAGGTGAAGAGCAATCGAGAGCGTGGCTTGGACGTGAGGAGACGCGTGGGCTTCGTCAGAAGATCCTAACAGAATGTGTAGAGAATAATATCCCTCTGTTCAGAGGGACACGCGGCGAGAGTATATTGGTGCAGAGCAATAGTGGCAATAGCCACCTCTGACACCACTAACACACGCACAGTGTGTGTATGTACAGACGGGCAGTGCGGGTAGGACAGCTCACAAGATCCGGGCAGATCCTAGGGCAGGTATCTCACTCCTATATATATAGGAGTGAGTCTTTTCTTGTGACTTATGATTTATCGATTACATACTTTGGAGAATTGAGTAAGATATACACTGACTTAAGCATCGGAAGCTCTCACTTGAAAACCCATCCGGTGTGAGAGTTCTGTGCAGGTGCGCGGCGTTCTACCGGCGAGGAGGAGGAAGACAAGCCGATTTCAAGCCTGTCGGAGTGTTTTGCCTTACCATTTGGCGCCGTCTGTGGGACTTTCGTTCGAAAAGTGGTGTGCTGAGATTACTGAAGCTTGGTAGCTATGGCGGACGGAATTCCTAGGAGAGATTTGCAGGCGTCGTTCGAAGAGGCATATACGACGACGAGGCCGTTCGGAGCAGGCCCCCCTCCAGGCTTCTCCGGACCTATGCCCATACCGGTGACTCCGATACTTGTTCCACAAGGTGTGGGGGTCACGCCGGTGCAGTTGGAAGCCGATGTGGGCTCAAGCCGAGCTTAGGAGGCCCGTACAGCTCAAGGAGCGGCGATCCCAACTCCGTTGCAACCAGATCTGGCCATGGCGCCGCAGCAAGGAGCGGTGGTGGAGGGAGCAGCACCGCCGCAGGTGGAGGAGCAGCACCTCGGCCAGCAGGTGGTGATGACTAGGCAGGAGATGCAGTAGATGATGGCCAACGCGGCGGCACAAGCGGTCCAGCAGGTCACCCAAAGCCTTTCTCGAGTGGCTGCTGGGCCGACGATGGTGGATGAGGATGTGTCTAGTTATGGAGGAGATGGAGCTCTGTGAGATCGGGAGGTGGAGAGACTCGCGGAGCAGGTGAGATAGATGCAGGCCAAGATGGATGGTCGACCTGAGAGGCGTGCTCGAGGACACCTGTTCTCGAGAGAAATCTTGGTTGTGCCGTTACCAGCAAATTTCAGGGACATGAGCTTGGTGTTCGATGGGACTTCTGACCCGTCGAGGCCTGTAAGGGCGTTTGAGAACTTGGCTGTGTTACATGGTTATTTTGATTCTGTTAGTTGCAGGGCGTTCTTGTCGACCTTGAGAAGAGGTGCGCTCGACTGGTTTCAGCAGCTCCCTCATGGATCGATCAAAGATTACGATGATTTCGCGGAGAAGCTGATGACCCAATATGCGAGCGCTGTGGCGCATGAGAAGACGTATTTGACTCTGATGGCCATGAGGCAGGGGGAGAAAGAGTCGTTGCGCAAGTATGTGGCTCGATATAATCAAACTTGTTTGGATATACCCACGGCCGCTGGCGAGGTAAAGGCTGCAGGGTTGATAAGGAGTTTACGATCAGGGCCCTGTCGAACATCCTTAGCCAAAACCCCTACTCGTACGTATGACGATATGCTGAACAGGTGCAAGAAGTATATTAATTTGGAGGAGACGGAGGTGGAGCTTGCTAAGTTGGAGGAGTTAGCTAAGCCAGAGCCTAAGAAGGGGAGGGCGAACTCGCCTAGGAGGGTATCGCCAAGGAGGAAATCGCCCAGGAGAGAGGGGCGTGGCAGAATGGATCGTGGACGAGAGGATAGGTGGAAGGATCGACCAGTGTTTGGAGGGAAGCGGTTCCATAACTTTACACCGCTGAACACAAAGATGGGAGAAGTGTTGGTGGCTATTGAAAAGAAGATGGAGGACAAGGATGTGACGTGGCCTAGGTCGAGGCATGAGGGGCCGACACAGCCTAGGTCGAAGAAGTATTTCCGTTTCTATAAAGATTACGGGCATACAACAGAGAAGTGCAGGCACCTCAAAGATGAGATCGAGTGCCTCATTCGGGCAGAGCATCTCAAGGAATTTTTGTATGAGGACAAGGTGAAGGGAAAAGATAAAAGGAAATGTCGGGAAGATTTGGTGGAACGGAATGATCGAGATGATGACGAGGAGGATGAACCTCGAGGAGGAAGAGGTGATCGAGGAGGTGCTGGGGGAAAATAGAGACAGGGAAGAAAGGGACGATATATGTGATTTCGGGAGACCCAACCGATGGGGACTCGAACAATGAAAGGAAGGGGCATGTTCGAACAATGAAGAGGAAGAGAGAAGAAGTGGGGATTACTGCTCGAATACCGAAAATAAGTTTTCGGGCAGAAGATGCTGAGGGAGGGGTGTTGCCCCACAATGATGCATTGGTGATTACGGCGGAGGTGGCAGGTTTTGATGTGAAGAGGGTGTTCATTGATACCGGGAGTTCGGTGGATGTAATGTTTTATGATTGTTTTATGCAGATAAACAAGGAGCTTAATCTCGAGCTGAAGCCGGTGACCACGGCCTTATACGGATTTAATGGAGGTGAGGTGATGCGAATGGGAGAGGTGAGTCTATCTGTCGCCTTGGGGCAAGGGGCGACAAGGAAGGTGAGGATGGTGAGGTTTGTGGTCGTAGGAGCGGAGTCATCGTACAACATCATAATGGGAAGAACTGTTTGAACGCGTTCCAGGCGGTCGTATCGACGTACCATATGACGATTAAATATCCAGTGGGTGAAAACGTTGGTGAGGTCGCAGGGGATCAGCTTACCTCGAGGAGCTATTATCAAACCACGGTAAGCAACAATAAGCAACTCTCAAGGAAGCAGATGAAGTCAGAAGAGGGAACCTTGAATTGACCGGGGAGTACGAGGTCGAAGGAGGAAAAAGAGAGGGTCGATAAAGGGAAGGAGAAAGCACAGATGCAGCCAGGGGGTGAGATCGAGGAGATTGAAATGGTAGAAGGTTGCGAGGAAAAGAAGTTTCGAATAGGGAAGGAGTTGGAGGAGCCAATAAAGTCGAGGTTGATTGGGTTGATAAGGGAGTTTGCGGATGTTTTCGCATATACAGCGGAGGACTTAACGAGTATAAAGGCGGAGGTCATCGAGCATAGGTTGAATATTGATCTTTCTGTGAGGCCAGTGAAACAAAAAAGGAGGCACCATGGAGCAGAGATTGATAAGGTGATCGAGCAAGAGGTTGAGAAGTTGTTGAAGGCGGGTCATGTCAAGGAGATTCAGTTCCCCGAGTGGTTGTCGAACATGGTAATGGTGTCTAAGTCGGGGGGTAAGTGAAGGATGTGCATTGACTTCCGTGATTTAAACAAGCCATGCCCGAAAGATTTGTACCCATTGCCCAGGATCGACCAGGTGGTCGATTCTACCGCAGGGTGTGAGTTGCTCAGCCTTATGGATGCGTCCCAGGGATACCACCAGATTCCGTTGGCTCGGGAGGACAGGAAGAGAGTGAGCTTTGCTACGAGCAGGGGCACATATTGTTACGTGGTGATGCCCTTTGGCTTGAAGAATGCGGGTGCAACATATCAAAGGCTGGTCGATAAAATCTTTAAGGAGCAACTGGGGAGAAATATGGAGGTTTATGTCGATGATATGTTGGTGAAAAGTAAGGAGGAGGCCGATCACGTGAATGATTTGAAGGAGACATTCTTGACGTTGTGGAGGTATAGCATGAAGTTGAATCCGGCTAAGTGTTCTTTCGGAGTGAAGTCGGGAAAATTTCTGGGTTATATAGTGACGAAGAGGGGGATCAAGGTGAATCCGAAAAAGGTAAGGGCAGTGATCGAGATGAAACCGCCCACGAAGGTGAATGAGGTGCAGATCTTGACGGGCCGAATCGCGGGTTTAAGCCGGTTCATATCGAAGGTAGCGGAGAAGAGCGGTCCCCTGTTTCAAACGCTGAGAAAGAGCTCGAAATTCCAGTGGACGGAGGAAGCGCAGAGGTCGTTCGAGGAGTTACAGAAGGTGTTATATGTCTCGATTGGATAAACCGGTTCATGGAGAGGACCTTGTGCTATATGTCTCGATTGGATAAACGGCGGTGAGATCGGTGTTGTTGAGGGAAGAGTGCACGGTGCAATTCCCGATCTATTATGTGAGTAGGGTGATGCAAGGAGCGGAGAGGAGATATTCGGAGATCGAGAAGTGTGCCTTAGCAGTGGTGGTGACGGTGAGGAAGTTGCGGCAGTATTTTCTAGGCCATAGGGTGAAGATGAGAACGAATATGCCGCTGGGAGAAACTTTAGGTCGACCTTCTGTATCGGGTCGACTAGTGAAGTGGGCGGTCGAGCTGAGTGGGTACACGATAGCATATGAGCCTAGGAGGGCGATTAAGGCACAAGCGTTGGCCGATTTCATACAGGAGGGTACGAAGGTGGAGGAAGAGTTAGAAGGTGTTTGGCAAATGTTTGTGGATGGCTCGGTGTCAAGAGTTGGTGGAGGCTTGGACATCGTGTTAATTTCGCCCAAAAGAGACAATTTGGAGTTTGCGATTAAAGTAGGGTATCAGGTGTCGAATAATGAGGCGAAGTATGAGGCGGTCATTGAGGGAATGCAGTTGGCTATAGCCGGAGGAGCTCGAA